TTTGTCTGGGAGGATAAAAACACTGACTTGTACATCGGCTGGCCCCCGCAAGTCATTGTATAGGCCACATCGCATTCAAACGCCACTACGAATGTACAAATGGAAGTAGAATGCGTGCCGCATCCCAAAAAGGGATTGATCAACGGCAAATGCTTTATCCTTATCCGTATATGTGGACCATTATTAGACTACAGTGAGCGTGAATCCCTACGCCGTTTAGCGATCGCAGTGCAGTGTATGAGCATCGTTAGGGAACTATTTATGCTGTTGTTGTTGCGAGTTTCAGTTTAGGCATGACCATGAAATTCTATTCAGAGTTTATCCTTACAAATGGAATATCTTCCTATCCTCCTTAACCCTTTCGTCGTTGCTATCTGGAACAGCTTGCCTGTGCCACGTAGGTTAATGATTGTTGTGGTCCTTTAGTGATTTCCTCACATTTAGTAGGAGTTTAACCCTTTGACTACTGGTGGGACACATGTGTCCCACTTTGTAGTCAAAGACACTACCACAGTTCCAGGGAATATTGAGGCAGGAGGGCTCATTTGATGGCTGAATTGTGCACATATAGAAGCTTTCTAATTCTTACTATGACATTATCGTCAGAAGCTAAAGCGAGTCATCCTGCGTAAGTTAATCTTTGACTACTGGTGGTACACATGTGTCCCACTTCGTAGTCAAAGACACTACCACAGTTTTGGCACTTATTGAGATCGGAGGGCCCGCTTTATGGCGGAATTGTGCACAACTAGAAACTTTATGATTCTTACTCTGACACCAAATTGTCACAAGTCAGAGCGAGTTACTTTGGATAGTTGATAAGCAAGTCGTACCACAGGTCACTGGACAGTGTGCACAGCTCCCGAAAAGGTAATTTTTGAGTCTCACACTCTTCATCCTTGTGTTAATGGTTCTAATATTTCCCTCAATTATTGTATCAGGTGAAACATAAGCAAACCGATGACGGATGGAGGCATTTTATCGGCCGCAAGCCAGTCAGAGGACGACGCAGCGTTACTACGACTGCGTTGGAAATTCCAACCTCCAGAGTTCTGTCAGTTTGGATGGTGCGGAAGTGGATAGTAGAACACTCCTATGATGACGCAGATTTGAGCATAAAAACCAACGAAAATTCGTTCAGAGGAGAAGCAGCCGGTGGGCGCAGCCTGTAGGCAGTAGAGCAGCACTTCTACAAAGTGCGGCTTGCAATTCTTTTCAAGTGCGTTCCCAACAGGACATTGGCTTATTGCACGAATGAGCTGTGAGAGTGTGCACTTGTCGAATGGTAACTGAATTACCAGTTGATGTTTCAAAAATGCTCATCCGAGCGGAAATGGTGTATGACAAGAGGGGCCGCTACCGCGCGCATGGTCCCTAGATCAAATCCCAGGTCACACCCAACGTACATCAGCCAAATTTCTACAGATGGTTGCCTGTTGCTGGGAGGGATAATTGCAACGCAGAACACATTTATAACTCGATTCTAAAAAAGTCGTAGTCTAAGGGTTAAATTACGCTCACCAAACCTGGGCTCTGCGCAAGCAAGACGATCATGCGATCAGCCTCGCTCTGTAAAGAGGACGATGTTGGGCAACTCCTTATACAGTGCGGCGCAAAATCATGGGAGAACCCCCAAAATATGAAAGTTAACAGGTTATCCAATTAGTTTTCCTCATTTTTAAACGATTTTTTTTAGTTTGTTGTCGGTGCAAAATGATAAGGCACCCCTAAGAATTCTTCTTACTGTTGGATTTCTTGATCTAACCAGATAGCAGCACTTTTTCGGTGTATGGCAACTCTACTACGATAGCGATTTGGGTTGCTTTCCTTTCTTCTGCAAGAAAGGCAGGCGTTGCTTTTATACGCGTATGGTGGCTCTACCATGACCATTGAAGTCATTTTGAGAGAGGATTCGACGACATTCTTCCAAGGAAATTCTCGTGGTGGTTTCCTGAAGATGTGAGGATGCGTATCATTATCGTATCGTACTTATCCTGAGCCCCAAACCTGAAGTTTTTCGCCACATAATTGAGTTTACTAGAGCACAGGAAAGTCGCAGAATGAGCCAGGTAAAAAAAAGTGACGACATATACTTTCCGGCCACGTCGCACATTTGAGGATATGATGTATCGTACCCTTCTCAAAAGTATCCTTTATTGGAGGTGTGAATTATTATGCCGTATTAGTATTCAGCGCAACAGCATTACCAAGGGGTAGTACTTATAGACTAGAATCTACAGCAGTCTGAGAAGGTAAACACGCGAATAACCAGAAAAACGTCTGTCATGATTAGGCAGCGAATGTATTTTTTAGGCACACATTTAGGCACACATGTACTTAATTCGCAAAAAAAAATTCAGGACCATAAAGCAAACTTGCCTCGTATGAAATTGCACATCCGTCCACCTTTCGATTACAGAACCAATCCGGATAGGATTCCAGAGATGTCTTGCATTGCCTCAAAATCAGCAGCGACAACTAAAAAAAGAACAAAAAATCATAAAGCATAACAAGGACATGAGTCTAAATCATTCTAAATATCAGAAGCTTCTGCCGTCTAGACAGTGGATGCAAACCTCATGCTTTGCATCAATCGTGAACGTGTCTGTTGCTTTAGCAGCTGAAGTATTCATTGCAGCAGCTAAGCTAAAAATTCCAATAACAGCCTTGACGATAGCCTTCCTTGAAAAAGAACATTCTGCTGATGAAACCTAGTCAACAGCTCTCCCGAAAGAACAAAACCGGCAGCGAAATCAGGGAATAAGAACTTCCGGTCCCCATCGCGATCATGTCCGTAAAAATGATGTATGATGGTAGGGCTGAAATCAAGAACTGAAAACGTTATCCCAATGAATGCTATAAAGATTGATTCACCTCTTGTCGTAAAGACCGTGTCCTAAGAAGGTTTTCTTCGTTGGATCAAAACCTTTCAGGAATGAGAATAATGTGGACGCGTCTACAACAGACTCTGACTCTAGGAAAACGTACCACTGCGATGTAACGAGCTTGGATATCCTTAACATCAAGGAATGGAACCCAGCTACAAATCAATGAAAGAACGGACAAACAAAAGTAGATGAATCATCACTAAAAAGAGATCCTACTACAGGTGTCCCATGAATACTGCACCAAGTTTCTTCTAAAGTTTCACACAATCTTTAGCCATAGATTTACATATTGGGATTAACGAAATTTATTTGATGTTCTCCTGTTGCGTGAGTATGGCCCCCATATGCTTCGAACACAACTCCATTGTGGTCCGCATGACCAGGGTGAATAACGGTCGAGGAATTCCTCGACCATCGCTCTCTACTGTGCGAGAGTAGTGCCGAGAGTGAATGTACGCGCGGAGAGCACAGACGGCTCGCGGGTGGCGAGAGTGAATATCCGTAAGGATCAGGCGAAAATCCTCGACGTGCCGTTAATGAATCCTCAAGCAATATTCACCCTGCGCATGATCTCCAAAGGTGTCCTCTTCTGAATCTTGTAGAGAAAAAGATTCGGCTCGTATGTGTGAATCCAATGTTTAGTGCGGGCTCCGACCCCTAGTACAGCCCACATAGGATGGTTCTGCACATTGAAATCAAGGGATGATGAAACATTCTTTTAGGATGTTGAAATCTAGAAAACTGGCACTACCCTTCGTTGACAGTTTTCGCCTCTTGGGCAGAAGCTACGTTGTATAAAAAGAGCTTATTCCTCGTCAAAAAGGCTAGATACTTACTAACAGATCCACCGAAACTTCCGTTAGTTAGGCCTGTTTCGAAGAGTGTACCTTCGCTTCACAGTGAAACGTTGCCGTCTTGAAATGGTGCCCACGTTATCTCCTTTTCAGCCCTTAGTACCCGCTCTTCACACTCGTTGTCTCTGTTGTACTCTACTGGTTTCACTGAGCCGTGGCGCTTATAGAGCTTATAAAAGAATGTGAAATTTGTTATATGGGCGCAAGTATAGCGCGATCGTAACGATCGTATACCGGTCGCACAGCATTAGATGCGTATCGATCGTCAGACTTGTCTAAGTATTCGATGATCGTTACGTTGGACGACCGACTATGCATGCGCCCTATAACAACTTGCCACACGATTGTGATCGGACTCCAGCGTTCTGATCATCTTTCTCAAGCCAAACAGGGTGTCGCGATCGATCCGCCCATCGTGCTTTTCTAAGATCCAATAGCAAAACTTACGGGGCGACCGCAACCAAGACTACATTGTTGGTTCTTCTTCACAGAGTGCTGTAGGCCACGGAGCTAAGATTTCCAGGAATTGCGAAGTTCACTATCGGATGTCTGACGTAGCTGTGCGAGAAATTAGGCCCTATATTCAAGTTTATGCACACAAAGAGAGAGACCAGACCGAACGGTAAGCCGTGGAATTTGGGAAGGTTATTCACAAGAGGTAATGGGATGTGAAGGTCTACCAGCCTGAAAGCATTACAGAATTTGAGCTTAAAGTGTGAAGCAATATTTATGGGACACCCTGTAAACCGCCACAAGCAGATTAGAGTAAAATAGAGCGATTGGAAAAATCTGTCAAACCTACTGAAAAGCGGCCACGAAGCCCAAAATCCAACAATGTCCGGGAAATCAACGTGGGGGACAACAATCTCGACATTCTGAAAACACACCGATGTTTAATCTGTTGTCGACCACGCTTGGAGACTACCTCTTTCAAAATTTCGGCCTGCTGTGAAATTGAGTCTTTTAGCGCAGATGTTTTCAAATTATCGAATGCCGACCGCTGCCCGAGAATCACAAATGTTACGAAACCTGGAATACTGCAGGCAGTAATTCATGGAAGGAATCGGGAAATACGTCTTCGGCATCTGTAAAGCTAGAGACCAGCACGCAACGACTGAAGTAGCGTAGGGTCAACCAGCTCAGACGATGCGAAAACAAATCTCAGCAAAATAGATCGGAATATCTCTGAGTCTCAGGATTGTGCCTAGGGTAGGAGGGGGTTGATGTTTTCCTCTCTAGCTTACAATGGAAATACACAAGGTTGTTATGACCATTGAAGAAGCAAGTCCTCTTCAACATGCACTTCAGACGGCAGCTGTGCTTTGCAGTCAGACTCAGCGACTGTGCAATCGTAACAGCATTGTCGCTGTCGCGACTGCACAGTTGCGAAATCCGATAGGGATCGATAACGACCAATGGCCGACCATTGCAAAGCCCAACACCTACCTACAGAGCGTGCCTTTGCGAAACGTGCGTTTAGTACATTGTGAGTAAACTTGAAACAGGTTCCCCACAGGCAAAAACGCAATGAACTGCTCAGTTGAGATAAAAAGGAAACAAAAATACATGAACCTTACTAGATTGTGTCGCAGCCGAAATCAAAATCGCTAGTGTAATCAACAAGTATAGTGGTACACAACTCATTAGAAGACTTCAGTGTGGTTAGTCATGAACGAATCACGAGAGTGAGAAGAATTTTGTGCTGAAAACCACTTAATGTAATGAATGTAAAAAAAAAGGTTAGTCGATTGAAAGTATCAGGAACGTACGAGATCAGTAAACCCAAAGGGCAATACGGTGAGTAATTTCAATAGGGTTCCGCCGGTTGCATATGAGCTGAAATCTTTGCAGAACCTGAACAAAGAATTACATCATTGAATCAGGTAAATGAACTTCTAGCATCACTGTGAGTATGGAATTCATAGAACTGGACTGGACCGTGATAGCTATAGTTTAATTACAGCAAGGGAAAACATTTATCACAGACATCAAATTTCTGCTATCATAAACCCAAAGGTTTGCTTGAACTACGTCGTTACGTCTACGTTGATCCCAAATCACGAAGATGTATCATTGCATACAATGTAGTTATAATAAATTAATACGTTATTGTGAAAGGTCGAATGAGTAATTCGCTCTAGGAACTATGGCTATTTAAACCAATTCATCACACTTTCGAAAGAACTGTGAGTCAATATTAGGTAGTCGTAAGCTACCACTCTAAATTTCACTAAAAATGATTGACAGAATGGTGGCAGGAAATTTAACTGTTTACAATATTCGGATAGCTATGAAGAACTTTGGTAAACAGCCGAATACACAGTGATCCACGCAACCATGAATGTTGCAAAAGCGGATCCGAATCCTTCCTTAGCTAGTTCCCAGAATCCTCCTACATCGTCCTCATCTACCTGAAGTAGGAACAACAGTAACAAAGATGATTTAGAGAAGAATAATTGGGACGAATAAAGAAAGCAAAATATGAAAGTAAATGTTGAAAAAAAAAGATTCGAAATATTTCTCCTGCATGGGCATCGCAGTTGGCGTGGAATGAAACTACGATTATTTGCAAATCATTGGAAATGGTGACGTTGATATCATGCGTCTTCCTACATGTCACGTACTAGGCTTTTTGTTATCTCAGTGCGAAAACCATCATACTCCTTTGCCGCTCTTTGCAATTATTAGGTTGTCTCATAAATAGTGTCGCTTTTTTCAAACAAAAAGTTTTCTTCTAAATCCTCATGCTTTTACATCATGTCATATACCATTCGAAAGAGAATTGTCTGCTCTACAAGATCGTGTTCTTCTTCCATCTCTGTTCCAGGGTTTTCAAATTTTAGGCCTGCGAAATGGGAGGTCCCGCCGACAAAAATTGACCAAACCGACAACTAGCTCTAACTTTATGTTCCCTTCGGAGAAATCAATCAATGATGTACCTCTACTGTTAGGTTTCCTAAAAAGCTTTACCGTCATTCATTTCGAATTAGCTGACGGATAAGCCATAGCAAAAATTGTTCCTCGTAAACGCCATTGTTTCATATCGAGTGGTGTTCCTTTTGTGAGCACTTCTTCTGCTCTATTCGCTCATTTGTTTTGTTTTTATGTTTGTTGGGAAATTAGTTCGAATTTTAGGTGTTTAGGAATAAGGTGCTTTATCCACGAAAGTGACCGCATTTCTTTGGAAAAAAATTATCCCTGAGAAGATGAGAAAATCAACCAGGCGTACATTCCTAACTTAGTCATGACTTGTTCTTTAAATTCTACTAGTTTTTCAATGTCTCGGCTATAAAAAAATTTCGACCTAGATCTCAGGTAATGGTGCTCGACCGTCGAGTTCTGGTTGAAAAACCAGGTCTGGAAATGGAACGACGCGACTTGTTGGGAAACCTAATAGTGTAATGTTAGAAGAACGGTCATGGTGCGTATATGTATGAGGTTACATGATCGTGTTGAATTTGTTTATTTTTTTTTATTTCTCTCAAGTTAGAAGAGAATAGTTAGAAGTCTCAGGTTGTCGGGTTAGCGTCAATTTTCCGGCTGAGCGGGGCTGCGGTACCTCCCACTTCGCAGGCCTTAAATTTGTGGAACATGAAATGGAAGAGGAAAACGACATTTCTTGTAGAGCAGACAATTCTCTTTCGAACGGTATATGACGTTGTGTAAAAGCTTGAGATTTAGAAGCTAGATTTTTGTTTGAAAAAAAGCGACACTATTTATGAGACAACCTAATACAACAGAATTACAATACGAAGTGGACCAAAAAAGACATGAGTTTCGTGCTATACAACAGTGAGGCGAAAGAGTGGAGAGGAGGAATGTTGCTAGTTGCAGAGTGTCAAAGATGTACCCCTTCTAGCATTTTCTAGTAGCGTAGATGTGCCACAGCAACGCACGCAATTTTCGAAAAAAGGTTCAGTTTTATAAAGGGGCACGCATAGAAAAAAACAAAACGCAACAAAGCCAGTTAGAAAAAGCTGACACTATCCAACAGCCCATCCGCTGCCCGATCGCAGGGTTGCGCCAAACCTGCGCGATCGGTACGTACCTGATCCTTCCACTAAGATTGCAAGCAAATCGAAAGAGTATCGCGGAGTATAAACTGCTTAATGTTCATGTCCGCGATATGAAGAGCAAATCTTTGCAGGTTAGTGAAGAACTTGTGACCAGATACATATCTTTGTACAGGGTGCCCCAAAATTACTAGGCCAAATTTCCAAAATTTTACTTGGAGTACAGACTTGTTGGGATTTATTTTCATTTTGCGTTGCTCGTGGCTTAGTCCAGGAATTAGTCGGGGTGCCGACAGGACTCTTGTGAAGTGCATCGTTATTGTGGTAAAACTGCCAGTATCTCTGGGGAAGATGCTGCATCATAGGACATTTAAGACATTGTTAAGTGTCTTGATGTTTCCGTGAACAAGAAGATAGCCAACAGTCGATCTAGGAGAATAAGAACACTCATTCATAAGCCTGGACAAGGAAGAATTGTCAGCGTTTCCATGGATAGAATCATCGAACTGTTTGGTTAGCAATTTACGGTGCTCCATCAGAACAATGGTGAGGCCACTAAATTTATCGAAGTCATCGATGGGGCGCATTCTCAACACGTTGACGACATCGCGCGTTTTGTGCTTTTGCACCGCGTGGGACAAGAGCGATTTTGCGAGCGCAGCCGCCGCACACCAAATCCATGGATTTTAAGTTGTAAATCCGCAATACTTAGATGCGATGAAATGTTTTCAATGATGTTCGATCTGTCTAGCTTATCAGGAGTTACAGTAATTAAAGTTGACCGAAATGACGTGTTAAGGCTGAAAAGGGAAACATTACTTAATTTCCTCTACTGGTTTATACAATCAAATGATGTGAACGTGGTTGTTCTCGTAAAAACACATAGATTCCCATACGAATAGGTTTGTGTTTCATTTCTGTTGTTCCATTTTGTATCAACATGTCTTCATTATGGATGAAGAAGATTATAGATTATTAGATTATAGATTATATCATTATTGAAGAGAAAGCGAGGAATGATTTGAACAGACATATCCGTAAGGTCTGGAAAACGTCTGCCAAACTAAAGAATATTTGGCTTTCTATGATCCATGTGTTTTTAGTATAGAATGAGTCAAAGATCTTAGGACTAAGTCGCACAAGCGCGAGAAAAAGGACGACTTGAGAAGTATGCATTTTTACTTTTTTTTATATCCGGGCGGCGGATGGGCCAACTCTATCACATGCAGAAGTGCCGCTTCATTCTGTTAGCAACAAACAGCAGAGAGGCCAAAAAGTTGGAAGGTTACTAGCGCGCTTCACTGGCGACACGCAACTCTCGATCGTTTTTTTTCTGACGAGAAAATATTCGCTGTGGAGCCGGTGTTGAATCGCCAAAGCGATCACATTCTAGTTAGAAATATCGGGAGTGTCATCTCACGAGGAAAGATTGTTGAAGAACGGCTAACTCGGCATCAGTAATGAATTGGGTGTGAGTCGCGGCCAATGGTGAGATGCCGTTGAATTTTGCCGATTCATGTGTGAAGATCAGCAAGGACGTGCGTATTAGTGAACGTATTGAAGCCTTGATCCAACCCCACTTTGGGAAGCAAGCCGTTGCTAGCAGGACAGTGCTACAGCCTATGGGGCCAAGCTCGTTCAGATGCGAGCTGAACTGCCCGACTTCGTCGCCGCGAGGAATGGCCTTCTTGCTCCCCTAATCTTAATCACTTGAACTCTCAGTCTGGTCCGTGATTAAGAGCAAGGCATGTCGAGCTCGTCGTATGAATCTGCAACCATTGCAAGCAGCATCAAAGGAAGCCTGGGAAGAATTGGATAAGGAACACCTGCGTGCAACGTGCGAATGGTGCAAGAAGAGACTCCGGGCCTGAATTCGTGCAGGTGGAGGACATTTTGAAATCTGGTTGTTGCATGTTGTAGTGTATGATGTTAGTATAATTATGTTTATATTCAATTACCATTCTGTGTCCAACAGTTCAAAAGACATTGCAATAAATAGGCGCAAGTAATTTTGGGACACCCTGTACATCAAAGATTTGTGTGCCACCACACAAATCAGCGAAGCTTCGAAATTCATCGATGCAAATTATTTGAGAATTTAGCAAAACCTGCGTACAAATTGAACGAGGATATAACCCACCTGTTGAAATTTTACCACGAAATGCTGAGCTACCATGGTTGATACTGCTATGTAGGCTAGAATAGCCA